AAGTCTCCAAAATATCTTGGAAGCTATCCGTATTTAATGACAATAATTACAAATATTATTGCACTCCTTTACCAAGGATTGCGATGACTTCAAATTGTATTATTTCATTCACAACAGATTGCTGCATTACTTTTCCCAACTAGGGAATCACTACACTGAGATTTGAATTCGGTTTTGTCCAACACTACATCAAGGCTCTAGTATGATGCAGGCTCTGGATGCCACATCTCACACCCATTGTTCTGTTAGGGTTGACTTGGCTGACAGGTGAAGATTGCTTTCCTGTGATATGACAGTTCCAGGGACCACGGTTGCAAATAGCATGGGTGTAACATCATACGCAATCTCTTTTCCATTTTGAGTATCATCCTACTTGCTCCTACCTCTATGTTCAGATGAAACACATGCACCTTTCCTGCTGTCTTCTCTCACCCATCTATTTGGGTTCCTGAAAGCTATGTACTTAGTTGAAGAGGTTGAGAAAAACTGAGCATCTTCACCGGGAAGCAAACCATAGGGTCTCTAACTCTACAGATCAAAATAAAAAGAGAAGTGTACTCTTTTCTGCTGATTGCATGATGTTATTACCACACTATAGAAATCGTCCAAGAATCAGCTTTATCTGATGGTCTTATGTCAAAATTTATTGAGATTCTACTTTATGCTAAGTTATATTCTTGGAACTTCAAAGAAAGCCACAAACATTGGATTATTGCCCTAGTGCCCATGAGAGTGCCTTAATAGAATTAGTTTTTCTCCTTCTTTTCAAAATCATAGTTGGACTTGCCCATCTCAGCTTTTGTTAAGGGATATAGTATATTTCTGATAAATTCGTGTGAAAAAAAAGGTATGTGTATTCTGGGAAATTGCTATCAAATATACTTTCATTTAAGCAATTGATTACCCGAGCCCTGTGTCCGAGCCCTGTATTAAAAAAAAAAAAAAAGGCCATTCACCATGATTATATTTTTCTTTTATTGCTGGCTACATTCTTTACCTTTTTGTTATAAGTTACTTCAAATGTCTTTTAGAAGTAAGCAGGTAAAAAAAAAAACTAATATGAGATTGAGATGTGAGTTATGAGGGCTATTTTCAGAAAATATAGAGTTTGTTCATTTGTTCATTCAGTGATTAAACAAATATTTCTTGAAAGCCTCCTAGGCTAAGTACTGTGCTAAATGCTGGGTTACACTGATGATGTGGAATTGCAGTCTTTTCAAAACTGTGAATCTCTTAATTCTTGTTTACTAAATATTTGACTAATATTTTTTTAATATATATAGATATTCAAATTTTGACATGCTAAAAATTTTACTTGCATCATTTATTGTCCGTCTCCTACCACTAGAATGAATGCAAACTCTGTGAAGGCCAAGATTTTTGTCTGTTTTTGTTGTATCTCTAGATCCTAGAGTAGTGCTTCAATTATGGTAGAAAGCCAATAAATATCTCAAATGATGCAAGAATAAATGAATGTTAAAAGGTGCAATTACTTTCCCTCTTTGTACACATCCTAGCACATGTATATTTCTTTGATAAGACAGATTTCTACCCTGAGTTGGCATTTTCTTCATGATTGCCACATATTCATTATTATCTATCACACTATCATTATTTAGTTTATATCAATAAACTAAAGGAAATGAATGAAAATAATATCAGGTTAAACGTAAAAATGTTTAAAAATATCATATGTAATAATAAGTTAGACTTGCCCAGAAAGGAATTATTTTTACTATCAAAGGCAAGTCCTATTTTCATTCCTGTGTGCGTTCATTTTACCTCTCAATTTATAACACAATTTAAATACTCTCTGTTATCAGATCATGCAGCCAAAATAGAGAAAGTTATTTCACCACACCCCAGTAAGAATTCCTGCTAATGGGAAAGGCTGGCTATTATTCTTTAGGTGGTTCTACCATAGCCAAATCATTAATCAATCAAAGGTTTATGCATGTTGAATTTCTCTTTTTTTCCTACTGTAAGTAAATACATTTTATTGTCATTGCAGATGAGTTGGGCAGAATAATGTCATACCTGAGTCAGTTTCCCACTCCTTTCCCTGACCACCACATTCAACTGTATAATAATGCCAATGAATGCATTTTTCAGTTATTTTTTAAAACCACATTTTCCCCTCAAATGACCTGTTGTAGCTGTGGTTTAAGTGCTACATTTTCCTTACAATTGCTCTGAGCAATAACCTTCTCCTTCACCATAGAGTTATGAGCTTAATGTATTTGCTTTGGTAATTCAGAAGAATGCAGAATTATATGAAAAACCTAAAATAAATCTGATCTACAAATCCTATCTCTTAGAATCCTATCTATTACCTTTCACTTTGATTTTCAGACATCTGTGACTGCTTGAAAACTTATTGAGTTCTTTCTCAATTCTGTCAAGAAAGGCTATTTATTGCATAGCCCAATAGGTTAAAACCTAAAATGCAAGCAAGATTATATTGCCTGTTAAAATCACATCATTGGATAGGACTTGATAATCATAGTTGCTGTCTTGTTTAGTCATCATAGATCTTGGCCTAGAGTTCCTGGCAGGAAGACTGTTTGAATGAGGCCTATCTCAAGGTCTAATAGAAGCTGTTGGAAGAATAAAAGTTGGCAACATTTTCAGCAGAGAGCCAGGGGGAGTGGAAACTACTCTCATATTATAAACTGGAGATAATAGAGCAGCACGACTTTAAGTGTTGCTTTTAAAAGGAATATCAGACGCCCCTATGTGTCATGCTCTTGATTTAAAGGATGAAGCTCAAATCATTAGAGCATTAGTGAATACATAAGTAGTGAAAATCAGAGGATAGTTGAGTGCTTTAACAATTTCAATGGAGAATATTTTCTGATATCACTCAGCCAGCCTTCAGCCCATTGAACTTCCCAAGACTCCTTGAGAATATTGCTCATTCAGTAGGTTCTTCCAAATACTCCTCAAAGAAACATCACTGTTATCGTACATTAAGTCAAAGAGAAACAGATAGGAAGGTAAAGCCACAGGCTCCATGTAAAGGATGGAGAACCTGAATTGCAACTGTTGGCTTCCAATTTTTGCTACATTTGGTTAGGCAATGAAGACTATATTTATCCATGTTTTGCCATGAATGTATATTGGCAATGT